GTCCTGATTGTCCTGTTTTGTTCCCTCAGTTCCTCTGAGTGTGACGTCGGTCCGTGTTTTGGAGCGTTTAGTGGACAGAGTAACTTTACAGTGGGAGAATCCAGATCAAGCCTGGAAACACAGCCTGAATATTAATGACACCAACGCATCTATAACCCAGCAGAAGACGACAAACGTTGTGTCATATTTGATCTCCAACCTGAAGCCTGGGACGATGTATCAGTTCAGCGTGACCACAGTGTTCTCTGGACTGAGCAGTGCTGCTTACATCGATCACACGTTAACACGTAGGTACACAGGGCGACAAATAAAACCTTGTTCTGCATTATTGTGTTTTCTGTTAAATTAAAGAAACAAAGATGTTAAAATAATTGTTCCTTTTTACTCCAGAAATCGACTGCAGTGCCGTATCCTGGAGGGTCACCAACTCATCAATCCAGGGAACAGTTGAAGGCTTGTTCTCCAAAGCTACGGCCTCTAATGGATCTGAAACTCTCATCAGTCCTGAAGGGAAAAACGTGAAATTCTCTGGCCTCCATCCTGGAGCAACCTATGAGATTTCTCTACTGTATGAAACATCGTCTGAACTTTATCCACAGTGTAGCATCAACATACCCATCAGTAAGTACAAAACACTCATTGTAACTTTATATTATAGCAGAAGTTATGTTAAACTTATAATAAGTCTTAGTCTGAGTATATTTGGAATTAAAAAAAATCTTTATTTCAAAGAAGTAAAATGTCAGAGAACAAAATAAGAAAACCAAAAAATATACATAATAATAATTAAACATAAAAACAAAAATAAAACTTCCATATTCAGTTCAAACAGGAGTAATAAGAAGACAAAGCTTTTAAATCCTTCCCCCAAATGTCTCATCTAAATATGTTTGACATTTTACTTATTTACACATTTAATTGCTGATTCCAAATTATATCTTTGCAAATAATTAATTCAGTTATCTGTAATAAAAGCTGAAAGTGGACTCCAACTTAAGGGTTTTATTATTGCTTTATGGTTTGTATAAGTAAATTAAAGGAGCACAGAAATACTTTAATACATGAAAATATTTAGTTATAAAATGCAGTGGATTAGTACTAGATAGGAATACTAGTATCAGAGGTTTATGATATAAAGCTGACAAACCAGTACTTACATCTGTTTATATTATTAATTCTTTCTGATTAATTTTCTGGTTCTTTCCTCCAGTTCCTCCTTCTATATTTGCTCACTGCAGCTACTGGGGTTCTGGCTACAGCGCTCTGATTAAATGGGACCAACCGGTTGGTGTTTGGACGACAGGTGAACTCACCATTAATGGAAAAACTGTCACTTTAAACCCAGATGAGAATCAGCTCATTGTGGACGGACTTCAACCTGCCAAATCGTATAAAGTCTCTGTGAATTCAAAGCTGGAAACTGAAGCTGATCCCTTAAAATCTGAACTATTCACTTTCTTCTGTTCAACTGATAACAGAGGTGAGAAAAACTACACACATTTTCTGTTTTGCTTTATGAAGTAATAATTTCTCTAAGCTATTGAAAGTTGTGGTAAATACTTTTTTTTTTTACTAAGACACTTTCTTTCTAAAAATAAATAATGAAATACTAGTAAGATCTTTAACTTATTTAATAAATTTCTCATTGAAAAGTTTCCAATTATTGGAGTCAGTCAAGGTAATGCCTGTTCTTAAATCAGAAAAACCAGATCAGGCAGTTAACTACAGACCAGTGAGCATCCTGCCAGTGTTGTTCAATAATAAATAAATAAAATATATATTTTCAGGAGTCATTGCAGGATCAGTGGTTGGTGTTCTGCTTTGTGGTGCCGTAGTCTGTGTGATTGCTTTTATTGTCCTCAGGAAACCCGATCACATCCGGTTAGTGCTTCCACAGTCACAGAACTATCATTAAATCAAACCTGAAGTATAAAATTTACCATTTCAAACATCATATTTGTTAAAATACTGTTTCTTTTTCATCCTATAGGAGAAAAATGCCTTTCATACTTGGATCCAAAACAGCAGATAGAAATGAAGAGTGAGTTTGTTCAGCACAAATTCCACTCTAAACAAATGTGTGATTGGTTTCCCTCCATTGTAAGGTTTGTTTTTACAAGTTTACAGATTGATGAAATAATAATAATCTGTTTTCTTCCAGAACTGTTTCTGCTGCCAAATTTCCAGACCACTTCCAGCAGCTGAGTTTGGATGAAAACAGAGGCTTCAGTCTGGAATATGAGGTTATCTAGAATTAAATCTTCTCTTTCTCTACTCTGCTTTTAAAAAAAGTTTGTCTCATAAAATGCACATATTTCAGATATCAGTTGTTTAATTTCATGGTGTCATATTTAATTTCAGGCTCTCGCTCCTGTTGGCACAGGCCAGACATGTAAGGCAGCGATTCTACCAGAAAACAGAGAGAAGAACCGTTTTAACATCCTGCCTTGTGGGTTCAGGTCTTATTGTTGCTCCATGTTCACATTGAAATACCAGCTGAAGATGTTTAGGAAATGTTCACCTTTTCTTTTCTCATCTGAGAGTTTCTGTGTTTCCTGAACAGACGACTGGTGTCGGGTAAAGCTAAATACATCAGCCCCCAAAGAGACGGACTATATAAATGCCAGTTACATACCAGTAAGTGTCCATATTAATAACTCGATTTTTAGGTACAACTTCTCTATTGGTCTCTTTTTTTCTTCTTAATTTATATTCACGGAAATATCTTGTCACAGTTACAGCAACGTTCTTATTTCATTGTTTTCTTGGTGCAAATGTATCTGCTGTAGCAGTCTGTATTACAGCAGCTCTGAAGATGTTTCTGACTGAAGACACTCAGACACTCTGCACCTTATTTTAAAATATTAGTTGAACTTTTTGTGCATTCACATTTATCTTAGCACCAGCAACTTGAACTGACAAAGGTTTTTATTTTGCCGATGAACTGCAAAAAGCCTAACAAAAAAACAAAACAAAAAAAATCTTTGACTTCATTCACACAGTGAAGTGACCCAATTCGGACTTCCTGTCAAATCTGATTTTTTTTTTTTTTTTTTGCCGTGGTCGTTTACATTAACAATTATAAGCGATTTGTATGTGATCTCCATACAAGTGAACTGCAAACGACCTGAAAGTGTCCCACATGCCAACCGCCATAAAAAGTAGAAGAGCTCAGTGTTTGCGGAAGTAAACATGGATGCTAAT